TGGCAGGGCCGTTGGCAGGGCCGTTGGCAGGGCCGTTGGCAGGGCCGTTGGCAGGGCCGTTGGCAGGGCTGTTGCAGGGCTATTCCTCGCAGGCTTGCTCGCAGGGCCGTTGGCAGGGCTGTTGGCAAGGCTATTCCTCGCAAGCTTACTCGCAGGGCTGTTAGCAGGGCTATTAGTAGAGCTTTCCTCGCAGGTTTGCTCGCAGGGCTGTTAGCAAGGCTATTCCTCGCAGGCTTGCTCACAGGGCTATTCCTCGCAGGCTTACTCGCAGGGCCGTTGGCAGGGCTGTTAGCAGGGCTATTCCTCGCAGGCTTGCTCGCAGGGCTATTCGCAGGGCTATTCGCAGGGCTATTCGCAGGGCTATTCACAAGCTATTTGCAGGACCGTTCGCAGGGCTGTTAATAGGATGGTTGGCAGGGTGGTTGGCAGGGTGGTTGGCAGGGTGGTTGGCAGGGTGGTTGGCATGGTGGTTGGTAGGATAATTAGTAGAGTAGTTTATAGAATAGTTTATATATAAGTAGAGTATATGATTTAGGACTAAAAGTAGAATAGCTATGCTTATAGTATATATAGATAATTATAGGAGAAAAGTAGATCTATCTACTCTATAAAAAGAAGTTATAAATTAGATAAAAATTCAGTAAAATTCAGAAAATAATTATTAGAACTTGGTCTTATTTTTTCTATATAGAGATATATTTTAATTAAAGTATATTTTTCTTTTAAAGAAAAAGAATAAACTATTAGTATAGTATTTAATTCTAAAAAAAAAACATATTTTTTTAGAATAACTTTCCTAAACCAGGATAGAAAATTCTAAAAATAGATCTAAAAATCTAATAAATAGTTAGATTTTTAAGTTATTAAAAAGTTTCGAAAAATATTAAGAATTAATTAAGTTATTAATTTTTAAACTTCAAATGCCAAAAATTGATATTTTCGTATGGTATATAATATAAAGATTAGAATATTAATATAATAATATAGTTAGAAAAGTAAAATCATAGTAAAATCTTAAAAAATAAATAAAGATAGAATATAGAAAATATAATTAGGAATCTTGAGATATATAGATAATAAAATAGTTAGTAGATTCCCCAGTAATAATAGATATATATTTTAAAAGATGTTATAGACAACTAATTCTATAGTAGTAAAACATACTGGATTATCATAAAGCAAGACAAACTATTATATATTATAGATTAAGTCATTGTAACTAAAATGATTTTATCGAGATATTTCTGAAAGGAAGAATCTCAGAAAGGTGAGACAACCGAGAGATATCCACCCAAAGGCGGAAACATACGGCAGTATATCGACCATCGCAAAATCCACCACAATATACTTAGAGTAGAATAGAACTATCTATATAATCCTGGAAGAGATAAACATAACTCTTATAGTATCTAATACTTTAATATATAGGTTTAGATAATATTTGGAATATAGACTATGTAAATAATAGTCTATATTAGAAGATTATGATTAAATAGTAAAATAATATAATCAGTAATAATATAGATATGTATAGGGATTAGAATGTTAAGAATATTTGTAAGATAATAAATATTAAAAGATAGAAGAAGATTGAATATGGAGAATATAATTAGAAATCTCAAGATATATAGATAGTAAGGTAGTCGGTAGATTTCCTAGTAATAATAAATAAACATCTTAAAAGATATTATAGATAACCAATTCTATATTGGTGAAAGATACTGAATTACTATAAAATAAGGTATACTACTATATATTATGGTTTAATGATAAGGACTCAAGATGATCCATTATGATGATGTTGTTGATGATGAGATGGAAGATGGAAGTTGACCCCGTCGAAAGGATGCCCGAAGGCAGAAACTAAAGGCAGAATGCCGGCAAGGTCGAAACCACCACAAAGATAAATGCATAACTCGAAGCTAGTCCCAGAGCGACCATTCCACGTCCAGAAAGGGGCTGAGCCTGCTGAGATAATCCGGGTAGATCAACACGGTTCAAAGAAAGGCGGTAAGGTAGGTAAGAAGAAAGGCAGAATTCCGGACCACGGTGAGTTTTTAGCGGACCACGCTGCTGGCACCCATACTCACTCCATCCATCATAGTTACGAAGTCGCATTTGCACAATCATTCTAGTCCCATATTTTTGTTCATCCAGCAAACTCACCAAAAACACAGCAGCGAGCATGGACTGGGATCGCAATAGGAGGTTCGGTGGATTTATTTATCACATTCATCTATCAAGGCTGATGATGTTCTTAGGTTTGATGAACACCGCGGCGGCGAGAGCTATCGGCCTGCTGGCTCTAGAGGTTACAGTCGACGCAGTAGGTCGCCTCCTCGAGTCCGCTCTCCACGTTTCGTCGCAGATACATGGGTTCCCAGTAATCGCACATATGGACGTGCCCGTAGTCGGTCACCCGTTCCTACTAGGCGTCGTTCTTCACGGAGCCCTCCCTCATTCACTCGAGATATTGTAATGGGTCCTTATTTGCAGTCATCAAATCCACCAAGGCGCTTTTCACCCAGGCGGGAAGGCAGGAATCGCTCACCTCATCAGCCACTTTGGCGATCAAGATCTCCATATTCTGATAGCTCTCATCGGGAGATGACATGGAGCCGAGGCGCACTGAAAAGACTACGAGAAGCGTCGCCTCCCGGTCAAGACTTCAGACAGCCTCGTAGAGAACGTCCTCCTTTGCCTGCAGACAAGTATGCAAAATTTGAGCCCTCTGCTCGGGAAACCAATGGTCGCATGCCTCTACTGCACCGATCACGAAGCCCCTTACACCCAATACGCAGAGATCGAGCTTCAGACATTAGTGTATCTCAGAAGCGGCCATCGTCTGCCAAAGGTGATCTTTCTCCAGTACGAACGCATGCTTCTGGCTCAATACCAGACTCAAGGCCGTCATCTCCAGCTAACGAGAGACCCAACACCTTACCTCACCAAATCCGAGATCGGTCTCCATTGCATCGTGTACCTGCCCGATGCCAGCCTAGACATCTAGACTTTTCAAACCGTCGCGACGGCCGGTCAGGCTTGTCATCAGATAAGCTCAATCTCGATGAAGCCAGGTCAAGATTGCCAGACCCGGACCAAGCTGGCACCAATCCAGGGAACGCAAATAAAGATAAAACTGACCGACGTCCGTCCTCCGATGCTCAATTTGCTGAAAAATCGCACATCACCTCCTTTCACCCAGGTAATGTTCCAACGCAGCCGAAGGCTTACAGTACCTTGCAAACCCAAGTGCCACCATCAGGCCCATCACACGGCCTCAAGGCATTGCCTCAGCAGATTCGCGGTTCGAACATGTCTTTACTATCCGCTCCAACTCGGCCGCGTGGTGCTACCAGCTTCAAGGATAATTCTTGGATAGCATCGTCAATGCGCCGTGGGGGTGTGTCTATCGGGCTTCATGGACATCCCCCAACCGGGCCCCGTAATAGTATCACTCCTACAACACCAACCATGGATGGCAGTCGGAACGCGTCCGGCAGACAGAATAGTGTTACTGGGAATAACCAACTACGCCCACAGAATGGTCCCAATCACTTAATGGGGCTACGAGCGATCATTCCTGGAGGCAAGCCTTTTACCTCCGGCCTCAGTGTCTCTCTTGAAAAACGACTCTCTCAGTTAGAATCGGACAAAGATAGGCTTGTCGAACAGGCAAGTGATAATCAAAGATTAAATCGTCTCAGTGCTCGCGACTGGGGCAGGCTAGACAGGGAAAGCTCCATTTGCGCCCTGAAGAGCGAATTGGCAGACGGACACCTACAACGAATTAGTGATAACGAAAGTATGCACCTTGGCACGACATTCTGAGGTGGGTTATTCGAGGCTCTATTTTCGTCATCTGTGACTATGGTCTATTGTTAGAGGGTCATTGCCTTAGATGCACTGTAGCTTGCAGTTTTCTCGGCTGAATTCCTGCCTATCACTGTGACCGCTCTTGAACATGTCTCGTTTCACAATCCAATATCTCATGGTTCCACCCTCTATTGATTCTGAAAATATTATTATTAACGAATTTAATTGTAAGGACTCTTTATTATTTATAATATATAGTAGTATATCTAGTTGATCTGGAATCTAATATACATTACTAAGATCTATACTAGTTAAATTGTTATATTCTTAATTCTCTATATTATCTTCTATCTTATTATTTATTAGATTATTTATATCAACTTTCTAGTATTTCTATCTACTAATAATAAGTCTTTTATATTCTAGTATTTTATCTACTACTTCTATCTTTTTTATTATTATTATAGCTTATTTATTATTCTGAATTCTTCTTTTAGTTTACTCATTAATCATCTAATCTATATACTATCTTACGTTTATTAGATTACTATTATATCTTATATAAATACTATCTATTCTCTAGATTCTAGACTATTCAATTATTACTTTATTCTTAAATTTCTATTTTATGTTTTATTATACTTAAATATTTTTATCCTAATTACTTTATAATAATCCTAATATCTATATATTAGAACTAGAATATTAAGTTATTTAATTCTATATATATTAAGAAAATTCTCTATATCTATATTTAGATACTAATATTAATACTTTAAAAAGCTTATTATCTTATTTCTATATGTTATATCCTTAAAAGATATAATTATATTTCTAGATATAGAATATTAATAAAAGTATCTATTATAAAGATATATATTTTTTTTGTATCTATTAATTCTATTACTACTTGTATAGTATATTATAAATAATTAAGTATTTTATATTGCTAGTATCTACTATTACTCTATATCAAGTCTATTCATCTACTTACTTATATCTAATTATAGTTATCTATTTAAAATTATTATCTAAGAGTATATTTTATATTTCTATATCTAAACATTGATCTATACTAACTATTATTTCTATTAATTCTTCTAGTACTTCTATTACTTCTATATTAAGTAGAATTACTAGATCTCCTATGCTAGAAGATATTTAGATTATTTATTAGAATAAGTTATTTGTAATTTTATCATTTCTATATCATAAATATCTTAATAACATATATTAATTAGTATTAATTCTTAAGAATTATATTATCATTTTTATTTTTTAGTCTAGATATTTGGTATATCTATATTTATCTATTGTCTTTTATTACTTTATTATTAGATATCTTTCTAAATCTTAGTAAATTATAGTTATTATTATTTAAATATAGACTATGATCTAAAGATATTGATATCTATTATTATATCTGTTTTCTCTATATCTAGCTTATTATAAGATATTAAGCTTATAAATATAAATATTTTATAATATATCTCAGAATATCTTTATATTACTAGATCTTTTATTATAAAGTATAAGAAGTCTTATTATATCAATACTTCTAATATATTAGTTTATAAAGTATCCAACTTAGATTATAATAGTAATACTTTTGATATTAAAAGAAGTAATACTAGTAGTAGTTATTCTAGTTCGATTCTAGAGAATATTATAGATATTCTAGATACTTCTAGTAATGATAATAATATTTCTATAGATAATAGAATTAATTCAGCTCCTATAATATTAGAAAGAATACTTACTACTATTCTTAATTATCTTAATAAGATTAATTCTTCTATAGATAAGATATTTAAAAGATAAAAGAAGAGAGAAAGAAAAAAGATTATTTTATTCTAGAAGAATTAAGAGTAATTCTTTGAATCTTAATTCTAATCAAAATAGTTTATTACATTACTTATTTTATTCTTATTTAGATTATATACTATCTATATATTCTAATTAAGCTTTCTTATATTACTTTAAATATCTCTTTAAGTATTATTCTATTTATTCTACTTAAAATACCAGTATATTTAAGATAATCTATATTAAGAATCATAAATCAGAGAAGATTAAATTTTGTATTCTAATGTAAATTATAAGAAAGCTATAGAATAGCGAAGAAAAAAGATATACTATAAGAATATAAATATATTTATCAATAGAATAAAGAGTATAATCTAGTCCCAAGAAGAATCTATGGTTAAATCTAATCTATAAGTATATATATAATACTATCTTATAGTAATATATATCTAGTTTTACTAACTATAATAAATATCTTATAGTCTAACTGTTTTTCAAGATAATTGATTTACTAGGTTTAAGAATTATTTTTAATCTAATATATATACTATTATATCTAAGCTAAGTATATTATTCTATAATATACTCAATATTTAAGTAAAATATTATATGGAATAATTTGTATAAGAGACTATTTAATATTTCTATACTATATATATAAGTAATCTCTTTGATTTATTAATATATATATAGAACTATCTAGACTCTTATCTTCATATATAACTAATTTATTTAACTTAGTATACTATAATAGATAAAGACCTTAATTAACTAGATAAGGAGTAATATAATTAGAAAGTCCTAGTATATACTTTTTAGAATAAAAATAAATATAATGACATATTTTATAATTAAGACTTTATAATAATTAAAATTCTTATAATTAGGAATAAGAATAAGAATATTATAATACCTAGAAAATTTATAAATAATTTTACAACTAATAAAAGATATAACTTTAGAAAAATATAGAAATTCTAGAACTATATTCAGAATTAATAAAACTAGAGATAATATTATCTATAATAGAACTAGTTAAACTTGTAGAACTAGTAGTAGTAGTCTAGATCTTATATCTTATAAAGAGTCTATTCTAGTATATTATCTATTAGACTATAATAAATCTATCTTAAGATAATTAACTATAAGATAACTAATAATTATAGAATTATAATAAGTAAAGTAATAACTAAAGAGAAAGACAATAGTAATTTTATAATACTATACTATAATTCTACTAAAGATAGAATAATATCTAATGGTAAGATTACTTTATGGATATATATATTATCAATATTAATATTATTAATCCATTCTTATCTACACAAAAGATATAATATTTAAGAGAAATATTCTTAAAATACTTAGTATACTATAAATTTCTATATTAACTATTCTTCTAATATTAAGAAATATAAGTATAATTAGCTAGATAATAAGAAATACTATAACAATTATAATAACTATAATAATAAATATATAAATAATATATATATTGTATATACTAATAATAATAATATTTTATCTAACTCTTTATAGATTACTAAGAATAAATTTTCTATTTAGTATTATAACTACTATATATTCTTTCTATCTAAGAATTATTTATATATCTCATAATCGATAAAAGTAGACTATTTACATTAGTTTCTAAGAAGTATCTATTAGTAGTTACTATATTTAATATTATTAAATTTAAATATAACTAAATTAAAGCTATAGACTAGTTATTATATATATAATATACTATATCTACTATAGTCAATCTTAATACAATTAAGAAATATATATTTATCTATCTTAATACTAGGTATTCAACTACTATTATAAATATAGATCCGACTAGATTATTAGATATAGCACATATTATATTATAGTATTTTTTAATATCTCTAATATTTCTAAAAAATATTGAATAATAGAGTATACTATATTTAAGATATATATTTAAGATAACTATATAAAGATTTTCTAGTATACTTATATAGTTATCTATTATATACCACTATAATTATTAGAATCTATATAACTAAGAGTCTCTATCTAAATCTATTAATAGATATAAAGACCATATAATAAGAAGAAATTATTCTAGATTATGAATAAAAAACTATATTTATTTATATTTATTATAATTTTAGCTTTTCTATTTAAACTTAAGTTAAATCTAATTATATTAATATCTCTATATATATAAAGTATAATATTATATTATCTTCCTATTTCTATATTTTAGTATCTATTTATATTAATATAAATCTTACTAATATTAATTATATCTTTTTATCTAAAGATAATACTAGTATATCTATTTATACATAGATAATCAATATTTCTTTCTTATTTATTAAAGTAGTTAATAAAATATTTACTTTAATTATAATTAATTACTATATTTAAGAAGTCTTAGTATATACTACTAATCTATCTTCTAAGAGTAAGAGTATATCTAAGATAGATATATCTAAGTATCTATTCTAGCTAATTTATATATATATTTCTAATATAAAGATTGATATACTTGAACTATTTTATAGAATAACTATCTATAGAGATAATTATACTACTTATTATCTTAAATCTATTTTTATATCTTATAACATTTAAACAAAATCTAATATCTCTAATAGTGGTATAGCTAATATTCCTAAAGATATATAAATATAGATATCTCTTAAAAAGATTAAAAAACACATATTTTGAATTTATATATATAAAGTTTGTGAAGAAGATTAAAAGGTAATAGATACTATATTTAATTCTCTCTATACTACTAGGAAGATGGTATTATATATTAAAATATATATATCTTTATTTTATTTAGTATTTATTATTTAATATATAATTCGTAGTTAGATAAAAGATTAAGTGGTAGTTAATCTATATAGTATTAATAAGAAAACTAAATTAGATTAATATTCTATTTCTCTTTAGAAAAAGATTCTTAAAATACTTCTTAGTAAATATTTTATTACTATTATTAATATTATTTTTAATTTTGATTCATAATAAAATACTTATAAGTATTAAGTTTATCTAGTAATAGTTATTTATTATAAATAAGAATTCTTCTATATATATATTATAGATTTTATTAATTTAGTCTTCTATGTCTAGTATTAAATAAATCTAAATCTAACTAAATTTTATAGATTTTATTATATATATATTAAAGATATTATTAATATATCTATTACTTTAAAACAGTATTTTAGGTATCTTATTATGCTTAGTTCTTTAGAATAATAAAATCTAAAACTAGAATTAATTAAAGCTTTTATTGATTTTCGAATTATAATACTTTTAGAATAAAGAGTTGGTACTCTCAATCAAGGTACTCTAGATAAAAAGCTGTAACTATTAAAAGATTATTATTCTTTAAAACTCTTACTAAATAAGACTACTTTTTTAGATTAATAAATTAGCTTTATTATTATATCTCT